TTTTTTCCCCTGTTTCCCAAATATTTTTTTGGATTCTGGTTTTCCGGCTTTTCCTGCAGATCGGGGATTTCCCATGGAAATTCCCCTTTTTTTTCCATTCTCCTCTGTTTCTGGATCCTGTTTTTCCTGCTTTTCCCGTGTCTTTCTTTTTACCCGCTCTTCCCATCTCCTTGATCCCATTTTTCCTGCAGACCGGGGATTTCCCATGGAAACTCCCCATTTTTCCCTTTTTCCTGCCTCTCCTGATCCCGTTTTCCCAGCTTCTCCTGCGCTTCCGATCCCCGTTTTTCCCTTTTCCCCCGCGTTTTTTTTCTGATCCCGCTTTTTCCCGCGTTCCCCATCCCGTTTCCCCTCCTTCCCGGTTTTCCTGATCCCGATTCCCGGTTTTTCCCAGATCCTGTACAACGGGCAGCCGATCTGCAAGCTGGGCTGCGGTGCCGAGTTCAGCATGGTGATGGACTGCAAGGGGAACCTGTACTCCTTCGGGTGTCCGGAGTACGGGCAGCTGGGTACGGAAAGCCGGGATAATCCCGTGGGATAACCCCATGGATGTACTCTGTGTACTCCTTGGGTGACCGGAGTATGGACAGCTGGGTACGGGATTTGGGATCATCCCATGGGATCGGGGAAGTTCGGGATCATCCTGTGGGATCGGGATGGTTCGGGATGATCCCGCGGGATCAGGGCACTTCAGGATGATCCCATGGGATCGGGGCAGTTCAGGACGATCCCATGGGATCGGGACAGTTCAGGACGATCCCATGGGATCGGGACAGTTCAAGATGATCCCATGGGATCGGGACAGTTCAGGATGATCCCATGGGATCGGGGCACTTCAGGATGATCCCATGGGATCGGGACAGTTCAGGATGATCCCATGGGATCGGGACAGTTCAGGATGATCCCATGGGATCGGGGCATTTCAGGATGATCCCATGGGATCGGGACAGTTCAGGATGATCCCATGGGATCGGGGCAGTTCAGGATGATCCCACGGGATCAGGACACTTCAGGACAATCCCATGGGATCAGGGCAGTTCAGGATGATCCCACAGGATCGGGACAGTTCAGGATGACGGGATAATCCCGTGGGATAACCCCATGGATGTACTCTGTGTACTCCTTGGGTGACCGGAGTATGGACAGCTGGGTACGGGATTTGGGATCATCCCATGGGATCAGGACACTTCAGGACAATCCCATGGGATCAGGGCAGTTCAGGATGATCCCACAGGATTGGGACAGTTCAGGATGATCCTGCAGGATCAGGGCATTTCAGGATGATCCCATGGGATCGGGGCAGTTCAGGATGATCCCATGGGATCGGGACAGTTCAGGACGATCCCATGGGATCGGGGCAGTTCAGGATGATCCCACGGGATCAGGACACTTCAGGACAATCCCATGGGATCAGGGCAGTTCAGGATGATCCCACAGGATCGGGACAGTTCAGGATGATCCTGCAGGATCAGGGCATTTCAGGATGATCCCATGGGATCGGGGCACTTCAGGACGATCCCATGGGATCGGGGCAGTTCAGGATGATCCCACGGGATCGGGGGCAGTCCGGAATGCGGTGTCTCCGCCTTGTCCCGGCGCTGCAGGGCACAATTCCGACGGGAAGTTCATCGCGCGGGCGCAGCGCATCGAGTACGACTGCGAGCTGCTGCCGCGGCGCCTGGCGCTCTTCGTGGAGCGCACCAAGGACGGGCAGGTGCTGCCCGTGCCCAACGTGGTGGTCCGGGACGTGGCCTGCGGAGCCAACCACACCGTACGGATCAGGAATGGGAATGGGAATGTGGGAATGGGGGCGGGACATGGTCTGCGGAGCAAACCACACCGTATGGACACTGGGAAACTGGGAATGGCACCGGGAATGTGGGAATGGGAACGGGAATGGGGGCGGGACGTGGCCTGCGGAGCCAACCACACCGTACGGACACCGGGAAACTGGGAATGGCACCGGGAATGTGGGAATGGGAACGGGAATGGGGGCGGGACGTGGCCTGCGGAGCCAACCACACCGTACGGATCGGGATCGCGAATGGGAATGGGAATGTGGGAATGGGGGCGGGACATGGTCTGCGGAGCCAACCACACCGTACGGATCGGGATCGCGAATGGGGATGGGAATGTGGGAATGGGGGCGGGACATGGTCAGCGGAGCCAACCACACCGTACGGATCGGGATCGCGAATGGGGATGGGAATGTGGGAATGGGAATGTGGGAATGGGAATTGGGGGCGGGACGTGGCCTGTGGAGCCAACCACACCATACGGATCGGGATCAGGAATATGGGAATGGGAATGTGGGAATGGGAACAGGAATGGGAATGGGAATGGGGGCGGGACGTGTCCTGCAGAGCCAACCACACCGTACAGACATGGACAAAGCAGGAAGGGGAATGGGAACGGGATCAGGAATGGGAACAGGAATGGGGGCAGTCTTTCCCTGGGGTTTTTGGGATCCCTGATCCCCGCTCCCTGTCGCTCCCAGCTGGTGCTGGATTCCCAGAAACGCGTCTTCTCCTGGGGCTTCGGCGGCTACGGGCGCCTGGGCCACGCCGAGCAGAAGGACGAGATGGTTCCGCGGCTGGTGAAGCTCTTCGACTTCCCGGGACGCGGCGCTTCCCAGATCTACGCGGGATACACCTGCTCCTTCGCCGTCAGCGAGACAGGTGGGGAACGCCGGGAACGCCGGGAATGCCGGGGGTAGGGCAGCGGGACAGGTGGGAATTCGGGATCTGGGATTTGGGAATTCTGGGAGCATTTGTGCCCTGACAGGTGGGAATGCCGGGATTTGGGAGTTCTGGGGGGATTTGTGCCCTGAAAGGTGGGAATTTGAGATCTGGGATTTGGGAATTCTGGGGGGATTCGTGCCCTGACAGATGGGATCCCAGGAATGCCAGGATTTGGGAATTCTGGGGGGATCCATGCCGTGACAGGTGGGATTCCCACAGTTTGGGAATTCCAGGATCTATGCCCTGACAGGTTGGATTCCCAGGATTTGGGAATTCGGGGGGATCCGTGCCATGACAGGTGGGATCCCAGGAATGCCAGGATTTGGGAATTCTGGGGGGATCCATAACCTGACGGGTGGGATTCCCAGGATTTGGGAATTCGTGGGAATCCTTGCCATGACAGGTGGGATCCCAGGAATGCCAGGATTTGGGAATTCTGGGGGGATCCATAACCTGACGGGTGGGATTCCCAGGATTTGGGAATTCCGGGGGGATCCGTGCCCTGACGGGTTCCCTTGCAGGCGGATTGTTCTTCTGGGGCGCCACCAACACTTCCCGGGAATCCACCATGTATCCCAAAGCCGTGCAGGATCTCTGCGGCTGGAAGATCCGCAGCCTGGCCTGCGGGTGAGCGCGGCTCCGGGGGAATTCCCAAATCCCCTTTCCCGGGATCGGGGGCGGGCGGGCGCTCAGGGCTCACCTCCCCCGCAGGAAGAGCTCCGTCATCGTGGCGGCCGACGAGAGCACCATCAGCTGGGGACCCTCACCCACCTTCGGGGAGCTGGTACCGACCCCAGAGGGACACCCCAAACACCGCTGGGAACCCCAAACACCCCTGGGAACCCCAAAGGGACACCCCAAACACCCCTGGGAACCCCAAACACCACTGGGAACCCCAAACACCCCTGGAAACCCCAAACACCCCTGGGAACCCCAAGGGGACACCCCAAACACCGCTGGGAACCCCAAACACCCCTGGGAACCCCAAAGGGACACCCCAAACACCCCTGGGAACCCCAAACACCCCTGGGAACCCCAAAGGGACACCCCAAACACCCCTGGGAACCCAAAACACCCCTGGGAACCTCAAATCCCCTTGGGAACCCCAAAGGGACACCCCAAATACCCCTGGGAGTCCCAAAGGGACACCCCAAATACCCCTGGGAGTCCCAAAGGGACACCCCAAATACCCCTGGGAGTCCCAAACACCCCTGGGAACCCCAAACACCCCTGGGAGCCCTGAACTGACACCTCAAATCCCCCTGGGAGCCCCAAATCCCCCTGAGAACCCCAAATTGGCACCCCAAACCCACCATCAGCTGAGGGCCCTCACCCACCTGTGGGCAGCTGGTACCGACCCTAAATCCCCCTGGGAACCCCGAGGGCACACCCCAAACACCCCTGGGAACCCCAAACACCCCTGGGAACCCCGAGGGCACACCCCAAACCCCCCAAGGCCTGGCCCCTGTGGCCCCACTGACCGCCCCTGTTCCCACAGGGCTACGGGGACCACAAACCCAAATCGTCCACGGCAGCGCAGGAGGTGAAAACCCTGGATGGGATCTACACCGAGCAGGTGGGGGGACCCCGGAGCGGGGGGCTCGGGCTGGGGAGGGGGTCCTGGACCCCTGGAATGATCCGGGGTGGGGCTGAGGCTTTACCCAGCCCGTGGCAGCCACCGGGTGAGGGAGGGGGCGCCTGGGGCCCCTCCCTAAACAAACGGGGAAACTGAGGCCGGGCTCATCGCACCCATGGGGCCATTCCCAGTTCCGCGGGCTGTTCCCATTCCCAGTTCCGTGGGCTGTTCCCATTCCCAGTTCCACGGGCTGTTCCCATTCCCAGTTCCACGGGCTGTTCCCATTCCCATTCCCAGTTCTCTGGGCTGTTCCCATTCCCAGCTTCCCCATTCCCAGTTTCGTGGGCTATTCCCATTCCCAGCTGCCCATTCCCATTCCAGGTGGCCATTCCTATTCTCAGCTGGCCCATTCCCAGTTCCATGGGCTATTCCCTTTCCCATTCCCATTCCAGGTGGCCATGGGCTATTCCCAGCTGCCCTTTCCCATTCCCTTTCCCTTTCCCTTTCCTTTTCCCTTTCCTTTTCCCTTTCCCATTCCCATTCCCATTCCCATTCCCGGTGGCCATTCCCATTCTCAGCTGGCCCATTCCCAGTTCCATGGGCTATTCCCTTTCCCATTCCTTTTCCCATTCCCATTCCCATTCCCGTTCCAGGTGGCCATGGGCTATTCCCACTCTCTGGTGATCGCCCGGGACGAGTCGGAGGCGGAGCAGGAGAAGCTGCGGAAGCTCCCGGAGTACAACCCCCGCACCCTCTGAGGGGCCCCGATCCCGATCCCGATCCCGATCCCGATCCCGCTTCTCCATCCCGCCCGCCCTTCCCCCTTCCCGCACTGCCAGCCCCCCACGGGGGGGTCATTCCCATCCCCATTCCCGGCTTTTGGAATTCCCAGCCGCAGCCGGACCTTCCCGCCCCGGCTTTTCTGGCCTCTGGCCTCCAATTATTTTTATTTTATTTGTGTTTTTCCGGAGCTTTTTTTTTACTGTTTCCCGTTTTTCCGGCCCCGAATCCCCACGGCTGCCGGCTCGGGATCACTTTGGGGATCTGATCCCAGCTTGGGATCCCTTTAGGGATTCGGGATCCATAAAGAGCAGCTGCCAACGCCTGGTTTTCCCCCGACATTCCCATTTTCTCCCCCGACATTCCCGTTTTTTTGCTGGTTTTCCCTACTTTGGGTGCTACAGTTTTCGGGATTTCCCCCCCTCCCACCCTCCACCATCCGCGGGGATCCCGGATCCCATCCCAGCAGCATTCCCGGATCCCATCCCAGCAGCATTCCCGGATCCCATCCTAGCAGAATTCCCGGATCCCATCCCAGCAGCATTCCCGGATCCCATCCCAGCAGCATTCCCGGGCTCCCCTCCCCGCCCTCGCCCACCCCGGGGACATCTCAGGGATCACGAGGGGAGTCCCAAAGGAATTCCTTTTCCCGGGAATTTGGGATTTTTCTTTTTCCCCTTCTGGCGGATGGTTTGGCCCGGGATCAGCGGGAATTCCCGCATTCCCTCCTTCCCCATTCCCGATTCCCGATTCCCTCCGTGCCAGGTCACTGTGCTGGAATCTCGAGGTGCCTTCAGGAGCAGAGCCCGGCTCTGCCCCGCGCCATTCCCGCTCCCTTCGGGCCGTTTTTAGGGATTCTCCTGGATTTTTCCATGGATTTTTTGCTCCTTCCCATCTCCCCCGGGGCGGCGCTCGGGGAGTTTGCAGTAAAACAAACAAAAAGAAAAAAGGGTTTTGGTCAATTTGGTTTTTTTTTGGGATCGGGGTTGTTTTCCAGAGGGGTTGGAGAGGGGAGGTCCCGGCTGGAAAATCCCAAAATCCCGTTTTTGGAGCAATATTTAGGATTTCGGGGTGGGGAATCACCAAAACCC